ATTTTATCACTAAAGAAATTCATAAAATCATTGCTGCTATAGGCTGATGGCATCTGGGGTTCACTAACTGTTTTGTTCTCTGTTAGTTTAGAGATTGTGCTGAAAAGTAATCTAGGATTATTCTTATTGTTTTCTATGAGAGAGGAGAGATAAGCTGAGCGTGCTGTAGCAAGTGCTTGTCTATAGTCTGTAAGGCTCTCCTTCCAGGCGGACTGGAACACTTCTAGCTTAGTCAGGCGCCATTTACGCTCAAGTTGTCTGGCGTTCTGTTTTAAAGCCCGAGTGTTGTCATTATACCAGGGGGCGAGTTTTTTCTGCCTTACTATTTTACTTTTTAATGGGGCCACACTATCTAGAGTAGATCGAAAACTATTCTCTAAGAGCTTGGTCATAGCATCTAGCTCAGTAGGATTAGATGGACAGATGAGAGCGGCTGATAATTTAGGAAGGTTTCTAATAAAGCCACCGACTGTGGAGGGAGTTATTGTCCGCTTGACACAATAACATGGTGATGAACGCACATTACCACTAAAGTGAATTTTGTATGAGATTAAGTAATGGTCAGAGACTGCTGTGCTCTGGGGGAGAATGGCTAAGTTATCTATGTTTACACCAAAAGTCAGTATTAAGTCTAGAGTGTGGTTGTGGTAGTGTGTGGGCCCCTTTATGATTTGGGTGAAACCTATGGAGTCTATGATAGATATAAATGCCTTGCTTAGTGCATCTTGGGGATTGTCTAAATGGATATTAAAATCTCCGACAACTATTATTTTATTTGAAAGCGTTATTAGACTTGATAGAAACTCAGAGAATTCCTGTAAGAACTGAGAATACGGCCCTGGTGGCCTGTAGACTGTAATTAGTGTAAAGGAATTTTTATGTGTTCCTTGATCACTTATATTAAGAAAAAGAACTTCAAAAGAAGAGAATGTATAGCCTACTTTCTGCCTCACGCCTAAAGCTTTAGTATGGATGGTTGCTATACCTCCACCTCGGCCGCTTAAACGAGGGCTATGTGCATAGCTGTAGCCTGGGGGTGTGGCTTCGTTTAGACTAAAGTATTCATCGGGTCTAATCTACGTTTCTGTGAGGCACAGAGCATCAAAGCTGTGATCGGTAATAATTTCATTAACAACGACAGCTTTAGGAGTAAGGGATCTTATATTAAGCAGTCCTAGTTTTAGACCAAAGGTGCTGTCACTGCAAACTGGTGTAACTGGTCTGATATTAATCAAGTTAGTGAAGCAAACTTTTCGAGGCTTTTTGATGCTTTGTTTTATTCGGGGAACAGACACAGTCTCTATTGGGAGAAACCTATGAGCATTTATATTTATAGAATGAGCATTTGTTACCCTATTTAACTTTTAGGTAAAGTTTCTTTAGCAACCAAGGTTGGTATCTTTGCATTCTATGGAGGTTCTTTAAACTTAAAAAGGATCTCATTTACAATGGTTCTCTCAAGAACCATCCATTGAAAAACAATGGAAACCTATTCTGACACCTTTATTTTTAAGTGTGGGTACTCCTGATGGATAAGTTAAGCAGACGCTTAGGGACTGGATGTATGTATGTATGTGTGTATGTATGTATGCATGTATGTATATATATATTTTTTTCATATACAGTTGAATATGTTGTCATTCACCTGTATATAGTTACTTTTTTATTTTGTCTACTTATATAGTAATACATTTTATCTCCAAATTTTCATAAAACCAGGCACCAGGCAGTGTATTCATAAGCATTCCATGTAATAACTTCCTGTGAGGTAACTTTAAGAAGTGTTGAGCTCCTCAGATGTCTGGTTCCCATCACCCTCACTGTGTGAACACATGCAAAGTTTCTCTGAAATGGAGCATTCCATATCAAACCACTTTGGACAAATCTGTTTATATCTTAAATCTGCACTATGCAAGTTATGGGGATTTAGAGACCCCTCTGGTGGAAATGTGTAACTGCATGCACCATGCAGAAGGACACGGTGTAATGTGGGTTGCGCTTCAGACCCCCTCTCCAAGGGGATGAATTTGACTTTTTTTTCAACTGCACTGAAAGAGTATCAAAAGAGAACACAGTCAAAACTTGAAGGACGTATCTTCCAAGGACACGAATTATTTACTACTGTGATCGTATCTTCATCAGTGTAATGCTGATTTTGCATGTGAAGCCTAAACATCGTGCTGGACCTTCTTTCTGAGCCTCCGTGTGTGACATTAATAAGTAAAGATGTATGACGTGGTCTGAAAAACTCCTTCCAAATCCGACCCAACACCTCTGACTTTTGTGACTCGCAGCAGAGCACAAAGACCATATTCTAGTGTGTTGTTTTTTCTCCCGAATCGAAGTAACAGAAATAATTCTAACATAGTTCTTTAACGGTGTAATTCTTCAGACATTTAGAAACATCTGTGGAATTTTTCTATTAAATGTTTTTTTTTCCTGAACAAAATTAAATAAGTATTAATTAATTTTCATTTTTGCATATAAATCATTATCATTGGGGTGGGTGGGTGGCTTAAGGCCTCTAATGGGAGTCCGGGTACAACACATCCCTAGTGCCTATAGCTGTGACTCGTAGCACTACAGACAGACCATTTGCCATTTTCAAAGTGTTGCCCAATGATCTGAATGCATGATTCTTTTTTTTGTCATATCAAAGTAATTTATACCTCTTCCCCACCAAGTCTTGACGTAATGAAAAATTAAGGGAAAAGGCTGAGGCTGGAGGATATGATTGCCTACAGAGGATTTTTTATTAAACAGGGATTTAACCGGACAGCAGACAAATGTGATTCCCCAGAGGAGGCCCTTTAGCAACAAGCTAATTAATTGCTCCAAACCTGAGGCAGCAATAGACTCTTTTCCTTCCATTTCCTGGACAAAAAAACCAGTGGAGAGCAATCATAAGAGTACCTCTGATCATAAAATGAAGATTTACCATTTTATGGTACGCAACGATTCACAAACGATCAATAGCTAGGACTGCTGAAGGCCTAAATTACAGGTCTGAGTTAGAGCTGCCTTGAGAAGAAATGACCAGACACTCTTTCACGGTGGAATTAAGAAGGATGGAGTGTGACTGGTAAACACCACAGCTGCTGTAAAAAGCCAGTGCATGACGGCTTTAAAAACTCACTCTAAGTTTGAGTTTTGCTTGATATTCCCTTCTGAAAATACCTTGCCATGCTAGCAAGAGCCTTCTAGTCCTGTCAGATCCTACAAGGCTAATGTGACTTCCTATATGTAATATGGTAAAGAAGGACGAATTGGGTGCAAAGGGCACAGGTTCAAATGCAGTAGAAATGCTCCCCAAACCTAAATAAGCATTTACCACCATGTTCTAGGCCCAGGTCAGCATTTTGTGTGGCTAGAACAATGTTCAATGGAAACGGTTAGTTTTTAGATCTACTTGCATCAGGCTTTACATTACCTTCAATATCCAGAAAACAGTATTACCTTGACCTGTACAGCCACTGACACAGACCCAACTCCCCAGTTTTGGGACAATGGAATGCTGTTCAAACATCAGTCAGTCATTTGTTCTATCTGGACATACCAGGCAAGGAAGAAATGATATTGATATGGTATCACATTGCGATATTTGAGGTTTACAAAATATAAACAATGTAAAATGGTCTCTCTCCAAACTTAATTTAATGCACTTTTTGGAAGATTTCAAACAATACACCTTATGCATACATATAACCTTATAGAGTACGTGAAAAATAAAAAAAGTACTGCAGATAATCAGTGTAATCAAAGAATTTAATGTCAAGTGATGATTTTTTTTTCTTTTTCTCTGTTTACCCAAGGCAGTGAATTAATAAATGTTTGTATATTTTTGGTTCTTAGACGTTATTTGTAGCTCGTTACTTTTTGGTGCTAATTATAATAATAATAATAATAATAATAATAATAATACAGTCCTATAGCCGGTTTTCAAAAGCACTCAAAAATATAACAGCAGTGTTAAAATGTTTTTCACTGTTCTGTGTTCAGAAAATGATAAATGTTTCATTTTTAAGCATTTACAAACTATGATTTTGCTCTAATGCTCCCCACTAACCCAGTCAGTAGAGTTGTTTTAGTGTAATGTAAATTGCTTTTTAGCATATCACTGTCCAAAAAAAAAAAAAGTATCTCCATTTTTATTTTTCTGCATCATTTGAGCACAGCAACTGCCCTTTACAGAAAGTGAGAAGTGTATGATGAAAGGATCAATAGAAATGCTCAGAAAACAATTATCTTACATTAACTTGTATTAGAAGTAAAGAACACTTCTGTCCTCCGCTTTTAAGTTATCATTATGGAGATTTTTTTAGGACAGCAACAGTTTGTTAACCATGTAAAGATAATGCCTGTTTTTAAAGTCGTCTACTTGACAAAAAAAAATCATCTGCTACATAAAATATAAATAAGGACTTTTGCATGTTATTTCAGTTCTGTTTCGCTTCAAAGAAAAGATTTAAGATCAATAAATAAAACAAAGTACAAACTCAGTACATAATAGCATGTCATCTTTAAAAATCACATTGTGGCTCTAGTATTATGATAATGTAGTATTGTAAGGCCTGTAGCAGTTTGCACCCTAATGGATATTACTGCTTAGTATATTTATTTCAAAAGATTTTTAACAAGACACAAAGGAGGGAAATCTGTGAAAACAGGCTGGCAACCCTACAGACAACCTAATGTTAGAATGTCAACGCACGTTCTTCAAATACAAGTCTGACCTTTGTTTTTCCAAAAATACTTCTTGACAAGCTACTCTGTCGTTAACACACAGACATGCATCATAATGTCAGTTTTAGCTCAAGAGGAAATCACAGAAGGGTTAACCGCTGAAGGAAATGGATATTCAGATTCTTATAACATTGGACTGAGATCATAAATATCACAGCAAATTTACAAAACAAAAAGGCATTTATTAGAGACACAAGTTCCAAAGGACTATTCCAAGGTAGGTACGTATACAATACTGAGGATTCTTAATTAAAAGGAAAGAAAACAAAAAAGATGCAATTTATTTTGATACAAGCAAATGGAATGTGGTACATAACAGGCATAAATACATTTTTCATTAACTCACATTACAGATACAAAAGATTTAGAAGAAGAACAGCACAGCCGTAGTACATTATGTAACTAAAAGACAGACCTAATTTACATTACTATGCCTTTCTAAAAAAGGACAAGCTACTGTGAGGCAAGAATCAGTTCTGCACGTTGATACAGTACATGAGCAGGACCCGTAACACAAACGCATGTATCGCTCTACTGAAGCTCGTCCATAAGTGGGGGGTTTAAGTCCTATAACTTCAGCTTCTTCTTACGGCCACGTCCATCTGGGGTCCCATCCTGCTTGCGTTTCTGGGCCTGAGAAAAGAGCAGGTGGCAAAATTTTTATTCAAGATTTCATTACTGTTACGTTTATCAACTGGTGAGATCAACATTAACACTTGACGTTTTGGGTCCACACCAGTTTTCCTGCTCCAACGTGCCCGATTACAAGAAAAATAATAAAAAAAAAAAAACTTACCTTGATACCTAAATACCTCGATAAAGGGTTTGCCTCTGGTGAAACGAAAATTTAAAATTGTGCAGTGCAGGTGGACTATAACACTGGGGGCACGGTTCTACATTCCCAAGTCTTTGAAGTGTTAAGACATACTCTGTCAAGCTTTTTTCCTTTACATTTGGTTTTGTTGAATGGCTTTAACATTAAAATCCCTGAGCAAACCATTGACGAGCAAACCAAGGACAAGCAGCAGAAACATTTAAACAGTATTTGTTTTTGGGCCATCAGCCAGGTAATCTTCTCTATTGGGGGACAGTCAACAATAAAAAAACAAAAAAAAAAAAAAAAAAAGAAAAATCTTCTGAATTAGCAACTTTAAAGTAAACTTACTGAAGAAGTGCGAGGTCCCCGTTTCTTCTTTTCAGCCTTCTCCCTCTCTTCCAGCTCCATATTCTCACGTTCAATTAGGGTGATCAGTGTGTTACACCTCCTCTGTAGCTCCTGCAGAGACATATGCACCCAATTCAGTTTTACCACATGAACAGGGCATGAAGACATACTGTTGCTTGTGTATTAGTGTTACTGGTGGATCAGGGCAACTGTTAAGTTTACTGTATATTCAATGTATTGAAAACTATTCCACTCAGAACATTTGTAGCTGTTCCTCACTCGCCGGGCGTCACTCACCATAGCAGTGCGGGATTTCAGGAACCAGTCAAAACGGAACTGAGGCGAGTTGCGTATACACTGGCGCAGTTCATCATAAACACTCTCTTTGTCGAAGCCCAGCTTATGCAGCATGCAGATGAGGAAGCGGTCCTCTTCTTCAGTGTAGTTTTTCCCCTTGTTGGTCCCATAAGAAATCCTCAGCTGGTGGAATGGTGCCTTGTACCGGCCAATCTAGAAATGAAATGTAATGACACAAAAAAAATGCCATCATTGACAAGGTTTTGTATTTGTTCTTTTTTTGGTTTTGATTTTTCCATATCTGGATTTGGTTTCTTCTTTTGTTTATTGGTTGGAACAAAACACAAAATACACATTTTAATAAACAGTCCACAGGTACCGTATCACCATCACAGGCTCTATAAATAAGCCCATTTTTAAACTGCACTGTCTTGCTTCAGATGTAAGCTTAAAAAAAAATAAATAAAAAATATATAGAACACAAAACAAAGTCCCTTACCTTTGAGTCCAGTGCTTTCTTGATGCTGATCCTCCTCTGAATCCTGGCCTCTCCCCTCTCAATCTGTGCCATGATCTTCTCAATATCCTGCAGCTCATTGCAGCGCTCCCAAAATACAGCTACACACACAGACACACGTCAAGATCCCATATATACTGTTTATAAGGCTTGGTTACGTTTCAAGGTCTGCCAAACAAGTTCTACTGTACCGGAGTACTCCATGACCTCCTCAGGTGTTTTGCCTTCCACTTCACGGGCGATGTTCTCAATATCATCCCTTCCCCATTTTTCATTTGCCTTAATGAACTGGTTGAAGTCTCGCTTGTTCCAAATGGTGAAGCCCTAGTCAAAGATTGGACGTATTACACTGCAGTCAAATGGGCAAGACTTGAGAGTAATACAAATTAGGGCTTGATGAATATGTTGCAATATGACATCTTTAAAAGCTTATACAAATCCCTCATACGTCCTTTTAGGTTAGTCTTTTCCAATTTGTTTTGCCTTTCATGAAATTAGATGTTTTCATTTTCAATATTAGAAAATAGTAAAGCCACTCAAAACAACCAATGTTTCTTTTTCCTACTTTTATGAACCCAGAAACGTATCTGTGGGGAAGCTACAGCTACTAGCTAATCACTCATAGCTCCTCATACCAGACTTTACTGGAGCTTGTGAGACTATTGCTAGCTAGTATGTTTCCAGTTACACATATTACTGAAAATAAATGAGAGCATATAATCTAGTTAGCTGTCCAGAACTGTAAAAAAAAATTATTTAGACTGCATCGACCAATTAAGCCTGCAGGGCTGAGGGGGGAAAAAATAAACACGTAAATAAGTAATAAAAAGAAAAAAGAAAAAGAAGAAAACACCAATCACTGCCCCGTTCACTGTAACAATGTAACAACTTGACCAAAAGTAGTTTTCACCACTCGCTGCCACAACCTGATCAGGGCTGCCAGATAGGGCAGAATCTCTTGCTATGAAAACTATTTAGTAGTGATGTTTTTTACTACCTTGTAGAAGGCAGTCAAAAGTAGAATTCTTAAAGACTACTCTACATAATAACAGAATATTCAAAAATCTTAATATTCAATAACCACAGCCATATAACACACTCCAAGACCGTAACTGAAGAGATTAGGAACACATAAGCTCTGGCTCACATTATCTACCCAAAATGTATTCTTTATTGAAATGCCACCTGGAGTGCTGCAGCTGTATGTAATATTTCTAACTGCCGATAGCTTCACAGTGTCTAGCTTCCATTTCAGTCTTAGGCTAAAATAATTGCATGATTTCCACACCATCACAAATACGGCAGCATTCGGTTCTATATTACACCAACATCACAAATGTTATATTTAGCTGACACTGCCAAGCAGGTGCAAGACGTTACCTGGGAAAGAAGATTCTCCTTCTCCTCCAACTCTTCCTCATTCAGAGGCTCAGCCTCATCGATCTTCGCTTGCTCCTCTTTCTGCACCTGCGCAGAGTTGGGCAGGTCAGGGTTCCTGGGCACCTGGTGGGATATTTAGGAATGTGAATGCTAGGAATATATATTTTCAAAAGCTTGCTGTCAATATACAATACACAACACACACACGCGCTGAAGTTGGAAAGAAGACTTAATAGAGCACTAGTGAGGTCTAATTTAATTTTTAACAGGTTGCCAAATACCATTTATATGTAATCAATATTCTTACATTTTTTACAAGGAAACACTGTCATTTTTAGATACTGGCCACGATATACGATCACAATATATTTACACTACGATGTACGTACACAATTTTGCATTACACAAATCATAAGGTATGTCACCACAAACTAACAATTAAATAACCCAGGAGGCCAGGAGAAAATATAACCACACACACCTTGTAGCCAATGGTTTTCCTGTAGTACAAAATCTCTTTCTCTAATAGCTCAAAAAGCCGAGGGGGGAAGAACTGGAAATCTTGAACATTTGGCTGTTTCGGGGGTCGAGGAGCCTGAAAAAAAATAAAGAGAGGAAAGATTTAAGATTCTCTTTCTTGTATGGTAAGTCTAAACATTACGGAAATCTGGCATGTTTACAGACATGTTTATAGTTGATGTAGGAAAGAATACCTTCGGCGCTTTTGGCTCGCTGACTCGCAGGGCCTCTCGGAAATATGCATCAACAGCATAGTTTGCCTTGCGCTCTCTCTTGGGAGGTTCAATCCAGTTTGTGATCACCTGAGAGAGGAGTAGCAGTAAAACAGATTTATGAGAAAGCCGGAAACAAACATTTAAGTCAAATGTCATCCCTCTTTTTTACACAAGTGTAGTACTTATATCGAATACAATAAGATTTAAGGTCGAAGTAAATTCCATCAGTTACCTTTTTCTTTTCTCTGTAATCTTCACCTTCAAAGTTGTACACACTGTTTTCTGTGTCCATTGTGAAATTCCTCAGAGAACTTTCCCCTAATTTGGACAGCTTCTCGTTCATCTCCAAGGTCTTAAACACAAAAGTATGACAATGATATTTAACAGTGTAAAACTGAGTTTTGTTTTGCACATGCTTGCATTATGATTTCTAATGTGAAAACACTCACAATAGTTTCAGTTGCAATTTTTTTTTAATAGAGAGTGACTTCTGTGAGTGCACTGTATATTAAGTACCTTCTTCTCTCCTCTCTCCAAGATGCCATCAATGTCTTCGTCAGTAATTTCACTCTCCTTGGAGGCGAAGACGTGAGTGGCACCATGTCGAATGATGGACAACATCTCGTCTTTTCCCAGCTTGTTCATGCTAGGGTCTAACAGCCTTCCTAGAAAGTGGAGAACAGCAGAGCTGACCACACCGAGAAAGGCAATAATGCTTTGATAAAGCATGATCTGAAAGATGTTCCTCTGGAATCTCACCTTGTTGGATGACGATGGAGTCCAAGCGGAGTTTCATTTCAGCGCGTTCAACAATCCTCTCCTCCACTGTATTGTCGGTGATAAAACGGAACACATGCACCTGCTTTTTCTGACCAATCCTGTGAGCACGATCCTGAAAGACATACAAACAGAGCAATAAGAGACTTCCAAACCACAATAAAATTACAATAATATTATTCATATTTCTCTCTATTTACAACTGTTTACACACTAAGTGTGCTCCAAAACCTGAAGCTAAAAGTCGGACTGAAGTAAGCAAAAACTTTTTCCCCCCAAAAAAATACACAATAAATATATACTGAATGATGAATTAATAACAGATGTAGACCACACTGTGCAATGCATTAGATCAAAAGGTCAATGTTTTCCCATCAAGTCCTTCATGAACCTGGAAGGAAATAAGACATTTTCCAGGAAACAAATTTCAGGGGTAAAACACTGACCATAGCCTGCAGGTCCACTTGAGGATTCCAGTCAGAATCATAAATGATGACCACATCTGCTGTGGCCAGGTTAATACCCAGCCCTCCAGCCCTGGTGCTCAGCATGAAGAGAAACTTGGAGCTGTTGGGCTCATTAAAGGCATTTATTGAGATCTGAGCAGATTGCAAGAAAAAGCAGAACAAGAAATGAATCATTAGAATGTTACAATGCATCAGCAAGACAACCTGGTTTTAATTTATAAGTGGGCAATCCTTAACTAATGACACTGTGTTTATCCTTCCTCCCCTGCAGTGTTAACAATTAACAGAATCTAATTTTATGCAATCAATGCAGATGAAAATGTTAAAAGCTTCATCGAGTGTATTCGGCAGACCTGTCTCTCCTCATGTGGTGTTTGCCCATCCAGACGACAGTAACCATAGTTACGCCACATGCAGTAGTCTTCCAGAATGTCCAGCATCCTGGTCATCTGGCTGAAGATCAGCACACGTGAACCTGGTTAAAAAGAAATAGAATATAACTAATGCAAAAAGAACATCAACAGATCTCTAAAATAATGCTGGCAGTGCAAATATTACTAGAGAATTGGCAGGCTAGTATTGCATAATTAGATTTGAAGGATGTAACAATTTGTCTACAATGAAAGATTTTATGTCACAATGTTTTATTAAAATTCATGTTTGTGAATTCGATTAAAAAGCCTGTTAGATTATCTTGTGAAGTACACTATATGTAAGAAATACCCAGACATCCCTCTAATTGGTGAATTCAGCTTAAGGTGCACCCCGGCTTACAATTGCACACAGTTTGTATATCTTTAGAAAAGCACTGACCAATAGAACAGGACACTCAGGGTTAAGTCACCTTGCCTAATGCCATGTCAGCTAGAAGGGCAACAAAGCATCTGGCTGTGGAGAAGTACAACTCCACTTCCATGCTAACATTCTCGAGTGATGGAGAACAATCCAACACTTCTGGGATGAGCTGGACTAATCACCCATCATCAGTACCTGAACTCACTTATGCTCTTATTCTAATTCAATTGCATTGATCTATGGCTGAATGAAATCCTCACAGCAATGTTCCATCATTTGGTGTAAAGCCTTTCCAGAAGAAGAGAGGCTGTCAGTGCAGCAAAGGGACGATAAACTCCCTATTAATGCTCTCCATTTCAGAAGAAACAGCGCGTATGAAGCTACAAAGAGGGATTCCACATCATACACTTCTCTGGAAGTGATCATATGTTCCAGCTAACCTTGCTCCTTCAGCTTGGGCAGCAGCTTATCGAGGACGGCCATCTTGCCACTGTTGACGACCAGATGGAGGTCAGTGGTGTAGGGCGGGCCAGGCTCAGCCCCATCAAACAGGTACGGGTGATTGCAGCACTTTCTCAGCTGCATCAACACATTCAGTAGACGCATCTTATCCATCTTCCCTGCTGAGTTCAGGATGTCAATGTCCTTCATCAGGATCTTTGTGTACCTGGCAGGAAATAAGATGCCCTCCAGTAAATCACTCTTCACAAGTTATATGATCTGCTCTTCCAGACTTATCTGGAGAGTTCTTTTTGTACTCCATGGGATTTTGCTCAATTCAGAAGTATGATTAAATATCTGTTGCTGAAGCAGGCCCTGACATTTCTCCAATAATTCTATGTTCTTGTCACACCTTAGGAACAGACTGTAATAGGACATTCTACAAAAGCCACCTCATTAATAAAAACATAGCTCTACTTCTTTCATCTTTGACACTGATTCAGGTCTAATTGCTTCCATCCTAACACTTGGAATGATAAAACTACGAGGAGGTTGGGATCAGCTTCCAAAGGCACTTAATGAGGAGAACGTACCATTCTCTCTGCATCTTGCTGAGGCCCACATACATCTTGATTTCTTTCTTTGGAAGGAGAGATTTCTCCACATCGGCTTTGATACGCCTCAGCAGGAAAGGACGCAGTACCTATATGGTTAGAATTTACTAAATTGTTACTAAACGTGATTTAACTTATATAATGTATATATAATTACCTGATTATATATATATGATTATATGATTGAAATCATAGATAAACATCATTATACAAATTCATGAGTACTCACAGTGTGTAGACGCTCAACTAATTTCTGGTCTCCAAGACAGTTATTGGTGTCAAACCAGGAATCAAAGTCCTATAGACAGCATAAAAGAAATGACTACACAGCCTGGCACAAACCCAAACCAAACTTCAAGCGTTTGTCAAATTTCATCAAAACTCATGATTTAACTACTTGTTTAAAACAACATAAATGAAACACTGAAGCAGCCTAGAGGGTTTCATCCAGCAGATGGCACTGCAGCTCTAAAGGAGTTGCAAGCATTTTTCCCAAATGTCTTTGTAGATGGCAAAGGCTTGGCAAGAAGTTTACCTCAGAAGAGTTGAAGACATCAGGCAGGAGGAAATTAAGCAGAGCCCAGAGTTCGTGCAGGTTGTTCTGCAGTGGGGTTCCTGTCAGCAGCAGCCGGTTGGTGGTCTTGAACTCTCGCACAATCTCTGAAAGCTAAGATAAATGTTTGTTACAAAACGTACATGCCCAACTTTACATCAGCAGAAGTCCAAAAGGATAATATATTCAAATATAACAAGTTTTTATAATACAATCTACTTTTATGATGCATTTTGTAGTAGAAGGCACACAAAGAATTTTTTCATTTGATTTCATTTTTCATCATGAATCATTAGTGCGTGGATTACTGCCAACACATTGTGTGGAAGCATGCAAAGAAATGTAGCTGACGCACACCTTTGATTTCTCATTCTTTATACGATGGGCCTCGTCTATGACCAGGTATCTCCAGTTAAACTTCTTAAAGACGGCCCTCTCGATGATTAGCATCTCATAGGAAGTGACGCACACGTCCCACTCTCCCGGCAACAAAGTGTCACGGATAAATGCCGTCTAAGAACAGGATTGAGTGAGAGATACCAAATATGGGGGGGAGAGTTAAGCAAGTGAAGCCAAATGAAAGGAACGCAATTTAAGCTGTAAATACATTTCCACTGAAATGTTTCTTCAGCATGTAACTGGTTTCTCACTCTCTCATCCCTGTCTCCAATGAGGCAGACAGCTCGGAGGGAGGGCACCCAGCGCTTAAACTCGTTCATCCAGTTATACAGGGTGGATTTGGGCACCAAGACCATGTGAGGACCAGGGATGTTCCTGTAGTGCTTCATATAGCCTAGCAGAGAAATGGTCTGTAGAGTCTTCCCCAAACCCTGAGGACAGGAGACAAGAGATACTTTAACTTAATTACTTAATGAAATTACAAGACATGTTGCTGAAAATAGAGAACTAGTGCAGCGAAAGTGAGCAGAAAATTGTAGAGAAAGGGAAGGGAATTGTACCATTTCGTCAGCGAGGATACCGTTGATTCCATTCTCATAGAGTGAAATAAGCCAGTTCAATCCACGAATCTGATAGTCTCTCAGTTTGCCCGTTTTCACATCTGTAAAAAGAAACATGGTTAGGTTTTTAGGGCAGCAGTAACAGCAGCAACAGCAGCAACAACTCATGACCGCACAAGAATATGAATAAAGCCAATCTTAACAGTGTTAACAGGCATAAATACATCAGTCTGAAACCAATTCAGCACATCCAAATCATAGTTGGAATTATTTTCACAATCTATTTAGTTGATCAGGCCTAAAAAGTCCACTCCTACATTATTCTTGTATTTTATTTTTTTTCCTTGAGGTTTACTTCCAAAGTTTGTGTAGGTTTTCGCTCAAAAAATACTTATTACCTGACCATTTTCCAAACTCTCCATATTACTTAGAATTAGACAAGCCGCTGTTGCTACTGTGCCATTATGACCAAGATACATAAATAAGCTATCTTCTGACTGGCTGTCCTGTATAGTGCAGCATTTAAAAAGTAGCTAACACTGAAGCACTCCTTTTAACCTCAGTGTGAGTGGACAACGCCAAACTGCTGTAGGCTGAATATACGTAAATGTGATGGTATGCATGACATCAGAAAAAAGTGAATATAAAATGAGCGGTTTTTACAGCTTAGTTTCCATCTATGGACTGTGCGGACTGGGGAGCAAATCATACGTTTTAAAACTTGCTTTCAACAATGTATCCATACTGCATCAAACTTAAAAGTATGGAAGATTAGGTTTACCATGATCTGGGCCGAACTGACCAACTACATCAAGGTATGTAGCGATTTTTTTTGGTCCAGACTGCTTCATCCTAACGGTAGTTTCAACAGAATATTCGGGGCCTCTTTCGAATGAATCTCCATGTAAATAAGCATACAGGTGACTGGATGTTGAACTTACAGGATGGTGACTCGTCAAAGCGTGTGCACACATTGGCAGCTTTGCTGCTTTCACTGAGCAGCTCTTCATCCTCTTCTTGCTCAGTGCGACGATGACGGTTGCTGTGACAATGGAAAAGTGTCAGTGTGAATAAATCATAAGTCTAGGACTGCTAATGCAAAAAAATAAATACATAAATAAAGTAAACACACACACAATACACGGCTGTAGAAACATGACAACACTGTAATAAGGCCAGCATCTTTCCATTACTCTGTGACATTCTTTTAATAGAAAATTCATTCAGAAGGCCAGAAGTCTGAGATTAGGCTTAATCCCTTTTCTGGGACACCAAACCATAAAGCACACATTTTATTGGACATTTCCACTATCAGTAAGCAAAGGCCTTAGAGCAGTAGAAGCATGAAAATACTACTTTTAGAGATACATTCTGATAAGAATATTAAACATGTACTTGCTATGGGACTACATATTATTGAGTAACCATTTCTGAACATCACTACTCTCACTTACTCTCCAGCAGAAAGGAGATGCTGTTTCTCATCCTTTTTAATGCGAGGACGGCCAGGCTTCATCTTCAGAGGAGAGGTAGGAGTCTTCTGGGCAGCAGGCTGGATGAAGTGGGCAAACACTTCAGTCTGCTTTAGCAGGTACTCAAATCTGTTTGTCCGGTCTGTTTTCTGGTTTTCAGGAAAGGAAAAAGCATTATAAAACATAGCAAAAGAGAAGATTCCTATATAGAATTAATTTTGTAATAAATGCAAGAGAGGTATATTTGGCTTTAAGGACGAAGTGAAACATTACCACTTTCTCTTCGTAGCCTGCCTGCTGCTCCACCTTCGGTTTTTCAGCCACAGGTGATGACTGTTCGCCACTGTCCTGCACTGCTTCTGACGGTTCATCATGACCAGCATCCGAGGTGCCATCCTAAGAGAGAGATATGGTGCAGCTAAATTATTAAACGTGTCAAAGTGGAATAGTTCATAACCATTTTCACAACAACAATCTGTTACCTTTGTTTTTACAGCAAGTATGATCCAAACATTACCACCTTGCAAAGAAGAGGTCTGTCAGGACTAGTGTAATTTTAGCCTTGATTCTAGTAGAATCAACAGAAAACTGAATGATTCAGTAGAAGTATTGTGTAACACATAAGCCTCAGTTACGGATGGGAAATGTGATATTTAATCAGCATTGTGAAAACACTGTCACTAAGGTTTTCTGGTCATTATCATAGATGTTCTCTATACTTAAAGGGGAACTCCACTGATTTTTCAAAATTTCTGCATAATTAAATAGTTAACATGTCAACAAAATCATTCAGAGCGGTTTAGTGTGAAATGCTCCATTCTAGAGAAACTCAGAGTCAGAATTGTTTACAGTGGTGGTGACAGACATCACAGAACAAACATCTGAAGTGTTTAGTGCCTCTGAAAGCTCCCTTACAGAAAGTTATTACATTGTGTATACAGTGAATATACTGCCAAATATCTGAGATTTTTGAAGAAATGTAGGCCTAAAATGTATTCTAACAAGTTTATTTTAATCCATGCAAGGTGGATGGATACATGAAGGGTGTTCTAAAGCAAAATAGTCCCCAAGGAAAACTTCTTTTCCTTTTTTTTCTTCTCTACAAATGAACCATTTCACATCAAAACACTGAATGACTGTTTATATCTCAACCACTGAAAAATTCCCCTTTAAACAACACAGACCAAAAGTACATTTAATTCGTTTATTCGGTTTAATTTGGTTTAATTTAATTGCAGTGCGCGAACTTAAACATAAAAACTGTCCTGTAGTCTTTGACAGCATTTTAATATGACGTTACACTGTGACTGTTTCAACTCATCAAACTTAAAACACCTCCGCAGGAGAAGAACTGTATAAACGGAAAATTCAGTTTTAGAGCTACAAGAAAGCTCCACTGGTACACAGAGCAGCCAGCAAACAGGCAGGATGGGGTCTCCCGGAATTTGAGCTGAATTTGAGTAAAATGACAACTTTATTTCATACATTAATCCTGTAACTAACAGACCAAACCATTTCCTTAGTCTAGCACAACATGTTCGCTACTCCTGCAGTTGTAACAGCGTAACTCCGGCTCTTAACGTTACTCCACAAAACTGAAAGCAGTTACGGCAGTTTACACGCCGTAATGTTGGCGGCGTGCTGGCTGCCGGATGAACTTAGTGAAGTGAGTTAGCGCCGCTAGCCGGGCACTAAGAGGGGCCGTTAGGCTAAAGCTAACAGGCTACCATGAGCTTCACTATTCACTCTATTTTACAGCCAACACACCTCCAGCTAAAAGTGTTCCGCTAACAGAACAGAAAATGACACAAGAGGTTTATGTGTGAAATGTTCACTTAACAAAAAATGAGTCGAAGCTCCGTCGTTCGCTAAAGCGGCTAAACCCTCAAAACAACAGCAGAACAATAACGCTAGCGGGCTAACATCGCCGGCTAATTCATTTAGAAAAAGTTTCAGATGTCATCAAACCCAACAGCACGTCGTTTTAGGAAGCGAAACGCGCTGTAACCAGCAGCGGTACCCCCTATTAGATCGCTAGCGGCAGATTAGAACAGACTTTCGTCTGGATTTGTGTCTCACCTCCGCCGGTCCCGGTTCGCTTGGTCCTCGCTGCTCTTCCCGCGGTTGCTCCACGCCACCCTCTCTATCAGACATTATCACACGGTTATTTCGACACAAAACGGCCACAAACACCCGCTCCTTACACGTCCAAGGACCTGAAACTCAGAACTGACTGACTGACTGTAAGTTACGCCCCCGAAAGTTTGGATGTGAGTCCAGAACTGGAGCAGCAGACCCGCAGCAGAACCGGCTTAGCGTTTTTTTTGTTGCCGCTGTTCCCGCACTAGTGAGGGCCGCCGCAAATAACGCGATACTTCGACAGATTCCACGAGCGAACAAACGATTGAGTGTAGATGTCGCGAGATTTCGAGATTTTCGGAGCAATCCAAACAACCGAACGAGTTGTGACGTAATGACGCTTAAGCAAGAGTCTGAAAGCGAAAGAGTAACAAGTAACGATGTTTTATTTTCATTTGTAATACGTATATTATGTATTTATTTGCTTACAGAAGAAAAAATGAAATATTAAAATGTTTTACTACGTTTTACTAAAAATAGGTTGATGGGGAGTTCCACAGATTTTTCAAAATTGCTGCATAATTAAGTCACTGAGATGTAAATGGTTCATTAGTACAGAAGCTTGCCAACTCAAATTTCTTTACAGTGGTGGTGATAGGAACCAGGGGTCCCGACGTCTACAACACAAATACAGCTATTTTATTTACTGTGTAAAACCACCGGTGAACCCACACATGTCTTCTAAGTTTTTGTATGTAATGTTGATCATAAAAAGTGGTAAATCTGAAAAAAGTAATAACTTTTTGTAAAGTAGCTTTAGAGGAATTATACACTTCAGATGTCTGGTTCCTGTCAGCATCACTGTGAACGATTCTGACTCTGTAGGTTTCTCTAGGACGAAGCATTTTAAACCAAGCCATTTTGAAAGAATTTACATCTTAACCATTTAATAATTTTGAAAAATGATTGGAGTTCCCCTTGAATAGGCTTAATCCATATTCACAATCCCAGTCCTGGGGACCCCACACAATACAAAACCTTGTGCTGTGTTTTTGTAGCACATCTGATGAAACATTTGATTTTTACAAAGAAATAACAATAAAAAACACAGAATCTCGTGATGTGCACTGTAAAGTATTGAACACTGTGTGTCAAAGTGTCCACATGTTGCGAATTAGTCTAATCAGAAAAACTGCTGTAGAGGGGATTCCTTAAGGTCCACGTAACTCAGGACTTTTCGCAGGCCATTTACAGTTCGACTGTCATCAAGGTGCTGAGGAAGCTCAGCCTTTACCCCCAGGTTCTCACCAACTTTCATAGATGCACAGCGGAAAGAAAGAGCATGATATGCGAAGACATTTTCACAACACACAATATACTACATGTCCAAATGTATCCAGAACTTATTCAGCTACTTTAAGGTGGACCCATTGCTGAGGCAGGTGTTCATTTACTGTAGTATAGTATAGGGGTCAAGATATTTTTAACACATACTGGAAATCACATCAAACCTGAAATCATTAAGCTCCTATTATTTTAGTTGTGACACTAATTACTTAAGAAAGGGGCCCAAGGGGCCTTGGGTAGTCAGTTCCACTATTCCCTCAGCTGTGAATCTCCCTGGGTACATGTCTATTTTATCATGCACATGACACTGGTTGTATCCCAGAGCTGTCAAGCTGCTGGCTCTCACTCAGTTACTCACTGACCACTAACTACTTACAATCACTGTGAATATAATATGCAGTAATGTGCATACTGCAAATATATTGCTTGAACATTCACCAGTATCGCTGTGAGCAACAACTCTGCTCCTTCTGCCCTTTTGCACACACTATTCTGTCTTACACTCTTTTCAATGGCTTATTCAAAATTCCTATGACTGTATCCATTATCCTCTTCCTCTTTTACCTTCAGCTGTTCCAAGTGTAATAGTGTTTTCCAATAATTTTTTCTCTGAATATGTCCAAAATAATACAGCTTCAGTTTGGGTATCTGGGTTTTTAGTTAGAGGTGAGGCTTGGTTTGGTCGATGATCAATTTGTTTGTTTTCTTTTCCCTCCAAGGTAACCTCAAAAGTCTTCATCAACACCAAAATGTCTCACTTGTTTATTGTCCAGGTTTCACATCCATAGAGAATGACCATAGCCTTAGATCTTATTTAATCAAAAGAGGAAGAATGAAGCCAGAAATATACTTGAATGAAAGTCAAAAAGTATCAATGTTTAAACATACTCAAGTATATAAATGTGAAAAGTAAAAATTGTATGAAATAAGGTGAAAGTTTTCTTTGGTTGAAGGTGTGTGGTGTGGTGACTATTGGGCAGTTTTACTTCTGGCACGTCATCATAGTTGTGGGAAGTTTTGTTTTACACTGATGTAATTTTGGTTGGATGAATTAATAAAAACAATGAATTAAAATATGTGGAAAAAAAATCTGGGAAATGTAATTTAGTAAACGCACAAGCATTCAAACTCAATAATACTTGAGTAATTTTTTCAAAATAATATTTAAGCATAATAACGAAGTACAGTTACTCGAGTATTTTCCACCCCTGTATTGAATCGACTTGAATTGAAAACTGCTGCAGTTAAAATCATTGACCAGCAGAGGGCAGGACTGTAAAACGACTGAATAAAACCTTTAACTTGAAGTTGACCTAATTTAATCTTAAATATATATATATATATTTCTCGAAATCTAAAATAAAAAAAATAACGAAACACACTAATAGGACAGGCCTTTTTCTCTTCTCTTTATTTTATTTATCAATATTTCACAGGCGCTCTCTAAGACAGGAACAGGGTCCTGAATGACGTTTGCGTCATCAGCTGGCTGTAGGAGCGACGAGAATCAAAACAGAAAATCAGATTAAAACTCAAACTGGCTTCGGTTTAATGAGACGGTTATTCGTTAAAGGTTGTTTTTCCAGACGAGTTTAAAATGATTCACTGCGGTGAGTGTTTGTTACGTGTCCGTGTCCATTCAGACAGAGATATAAAGAACAGACGTTAGCTGAATTTGTGTTAAGTCAGTGTGGCCTTTGTTTGCTTTACTCTGGTTAGGTTTTTAGTTTTACCTCACTGACAAAAACACTCAATGCATTTCACTGTTTTATTCACTGTCACATGTGCCAGCCTCACGTTTTTCGATCTTATTTTGCTGTCGAGATGTGAAATTAACCTGTATTAGCCAGCTAAGCTAAGCTAAGCTAACTAGCTAACGTGTTTGTTTTGTAGCTCTAGCAATTTTAGCCTCAGATCTTCACCAGCATCGCAGAGATACAGCCTGTGGCATCCGACCTACTCAGCCTTTGTCACAAATACTCACTTAGAGGCCGAACAGTAAGAGCTGTAAGGGTGAATTTCACCGATTTGTTTTTACATTCTGCATAACTGAATCGTTAAAATGTAAACAAAGTCATTCAGAGCTGTTTTAGAGAAACATACAGTCAGAATTGTTCACAGCGATGGTGATAGGAACCAGACATCTGGAGTGTTTAATGCCTCTAAACGCTACATCACAGAAAGTTATTGGATACAATTGTTACAAATGCAACATAGTTTTACAGTTGTTTTGTAAAAACGTTTAGGCTTTACATGTATTCTTTTAAATCTGTTAATGCAAGAGAGGTTCATGCAGGGCATTATTTAGCAAAATCGTCCCCAATGAAAACATATTCTTTTAAATTTACCATTATTTTAAACTTAGAACACGTTTCTTTAATTCTTTATGTGGAAGCTGTATAATAAAATTAGACAGGAAAAATGTTGATGCCTTTGAACCTCAATGTTGGTGAAGACCTTTGGGAGCACCTTGGACAGCAAAGAAAACAAACAAATGGACCCTTGGACAAGCCTCTCCTCTCACTCAAAGCCCAGATAACCAAATTAAACCTTGTTTTGGACACATTATGGGAAGAACTGGAATTGAAAATGACAACTGTGCTTCTTGAAGATGAAAACGAAAAGGATAGCCGCAAGATGGTTGATGTTATGAACATGCTGTTAAGAAGTCTGAAGACTCATACAGTAAACTGGGTATTCTGGGGAAGTACTGTCTAGACTGTCTCCAGGTGTCTGCATGGACTTGACAGTTTATCATAATAATAATAATAATAATAACCAGAAGAAGAATATTAATAATAATAATGATGATAATTATAACAGCAGGTGTAACATACAGACATATGTTTTGTCAAAGTTTTATGTGATAATTTTAGCAGGAGAACTGGTTTGAGTCAATTTAGTGGAGCCATGATCCCTGTTGCCATGATCCCACCTGAAAGAGCTGCTTGTGTTTCTTTTTATTAGCAGGCATGGATTTGGTCAGTTCACAAATTTTCGTTCTCCTCTGCGCATTTGGACTCAAAAGTCTGTATTACCACGTTTCGAAAAGCACAGTATTTACACACTGTCCAAAGGTATCCAAAACACTTTTTAATTCTTGAATTTAGTTACTAGCCATTGCTGACCCAGGTGTTCAATTGTATGCACACTGCTTGTATAATCTCTATAGTAAAGCATTGGTGCATGTGAGCCTAAGGTCACCATGCCCAATGTCATGCATAAGCTAGAGAGGTACAAAGCTCCTCCAGCACTGGGCTGTGGAGCAGTGGAACTGCATTCTCTCAAGTGATGGACATCCTTAATGTTCTTGTGGCAGAATGCAGTCACATCCTCACAGCAGTATTGCTACATCTGGTGAAAAGGATTTTACTTTTGACTTATTAAGGCACAAATGTGATGCTTTGCCTCTTTTTCATTCACAGCCCTGCCTACATCCTGCCTTCGCCTCATGGTGCAGTAGAAACGGAGATGGATAAGATCCTGGAAGCTTTGGTGAGTTCGTCTCACCCCTTAACCATTAAACGAGCCATAGTGAAGAAGGTGGTAGAGGCTGCAGAGAAGGAGGTGACAGAGGAGCAGTGCCAGGCCCTTTACCGCCTGACTGCGCGGCTCATCCTGCAGGGCGAGGATGCCTTTCAGCAACAGGTGGGCCAGCAGGTGCAGGAGGCTTATGCCCGCTTCCACCGGGATGAGTTTGCCCGATTTCTCAGCAAGGAGTTCGTCCTGGGGCTCTTGCAGCAGGGCTACGGATCGCTAGACCGGAGGGACCCAGCTATCCTGGACTTCCTGCATGGCTGCCTGCGGCTTCTTCTCAGCTGCCCAGCCGTGCTGGAACTGGCGCCGCTGATGCAGACAGAAGTGCTACGAATGGTTTGTGAGCGCCCTGAGGCCGCGCTCTGTGCCAAACTGGCTGCTCTACTGACCGACTTCCCTCAGTGTGTGCCGCGGGACAAAGCAGCCGTGCTGTTCTGCCAGCAGCTGGTGCGAACCTTCGCCCATTTCCAGTGCCCAGTGGGCCAGGAGGCAGAGCTGCGGCGCTACGTCACGCAGGTGAGTCGCGTCGCCACTCTGCTGCAGGGCATCTGGAAGGTGGAGCCGGCCACGCTGCTGCCGTCACTTCAGGAGGTGTTCGCTATCATCTCCTCTACAGGTTAGAACCACAGCTACCACTCTGTCCACACTTTTTTGTGTATTTTATCACACTTTGTCAGACCTGACACAGATTGTGTGTTTAGACCACGTCTTTCTGTTAACAATCTCAACACGCTGCTTGTATTAAATTTGACGACACACTAGTTTTGTTAAAAGTAATTCTAATTGGGTCATTATTAATGAAAGATCCCGCGATTAAAAAAAAAAAATTCTGCATAATTAAATTGTTAAGACGTAAACAAAGGTATTCCTGAGTAGTTTGACGTGAAATGTTTTGTTCTAGAAATCTAGCTAACCAAGTCACAGTTGTTCACAATGGTGGTGATGGAAACCAGACATCCAAAGAATTTAATGCCTCTAAAAGCTACCTTGCAAAATGTTATTACACCAAATTGTTATGAAAATGTTGCCTGATTCTTGAGCCATTGTTTTATGATAGTTTTGGCAGCTTTTGAGCTTAAATAAGTATGTTTTTAAATATAATACTGGCAGAGAGGAACTATTAGAATGCTGTTAGGCAAAATAGCTCCCCTTAGAAAATAAATTTTTTCTAGAGTTACCATTGTTTTACAACTATCAACATTACATATAGGATCTCAGGAAGTCCACTGGTCATTTTGGGTAGTAAACAACATGGTTATATTTGCTTTGTAGACATGACCACCACTATTAAGAAATCTGAGTCAGTAAGTTTCTCACCATTTTACATCAAACTGTCTGAAAGGACATTTCAGTTGAGTTATGCAGAAACTTTGAAAAAATGTTGGCATTCCCCTTGAACTGGACACACATTCTGTTGTTGAATATGTAGAAAATTAGTATTTGATATCAAAATTTACGATCTCCTCTACTTAATCAGAATTTATTTAATTAGAAACAAATAGACTGACTGGAAAGTGTCTCCCTAAAAGCAGAAGAATGCTGCTGGGCAGCAGGATAACCATGTACAGAAGAATAAGTAATGACACAGAAATACACCTTTAAACACACCTTTACAACAGTGAGCATCTTATTTTGTAAGGACTTACTGTTCATGCTTGTGTAAGACACCACACATGGCCTTGAATAAAGGCCAGTAACCATGTTGGCAGAGACACAGTGTAGTTTTAGCCTTGATCTGTCAGCTAAAATTCCACTCCCGGAGATTCACAGCACATCACTGTGTTGTCCGTATACTTCTATGTAGTTTGTAGTTAATTTCTATACAGGGTATAAGGGAAAATGGGGAACAGTAGAGTTAAGAACAATGGGCCTAATTCACCATTATCTTGTGTTAAAAATGTTTTTTTTTAACATAATCTTGAGAAAGATGCTAAGAAAAAGTCTACATCAGACTCGTGACCTGTTCATAAACTGTAGAATTGTTTTCACCTTTGTGTTCTTAAGTGTGTGTAGAACTTTGGAGGATGTCTGAATCTTCATGAAAACTGCATGTGTTTTAAGAAAGATTTCTCCTTATGAACGGTTGGTAAATGAGGCCCAATGTCCATTTACTGTAAAATTACACCATATCTGTGCATGAGTTCAGCATGTACAGGATGATGATGTTTAAACCCCCCTAGCATGGGTAAGAAGCCCCCCCGGTGAATCTTGTGATATAAGTCGTGCAGAATGTAAAATTTATGTCAAATCATTTCTGATTTTGCATTTTTGTGTTATTAATCAATAATAATCAATGTTTATAAAATTCTAATATTATATTCAGTATAGTTAGCTGTAGTTGATAGCTCTGTGTGTTTTGGCTGCAGACCCTTCCTTTGAGCCCTCCATTGCTCTGGCCAGCCTGGTGCAGCACATCCCTCTGCAGATGATCACAGTCCTCATCAAGAGTCTTACCACTGACCAAAACGTCAAAGATGCCAGTATGACACAAGCACTCAGCAGGTCAGCTCTGCTTCTGTTTCTCTGATTTCTGACTTTTCCTGTACCATCTACGTGTGTGTGTGTGTGTGTGCGTGCGTGTCTGTCTGTCAGTGTGTATGGGGGAGACTTTTGGCATATGTCAGAGACCCTATAAACAAGCATATGTGTTCTAATTGCATAGTAGCTGTCATGACACAGCTTTATAAGGGCAAAAAATTCTATTTATGGCTCTCTTGATTAAAGTTATTTTTGCTTCTGTGTCAGTGAATTTGTTTAGCACTGAAGTACATAGAGCCTGATGCATCGTTTACAAAACATAACACTGGAAGATAAGAGTTGGTAATTATCACCAACATTTTTGCAATACTGATTATTTAATTGAGTTAATATCAGCCAACCAGTCAGGCTTCAGTAGAAATCTTGGTTATGGTGTGCAGCCCTACACTCTTAAAAAAGATGCCTAAATGGTTCCTAGCTTGGCGAAAACGTTCTTCAGATTGATAAAAAATGTGTTGTTTATCGTTCTGCATAGAACCTTTTTGAAAATGGTTTTATATAGCATCTATAAGGGTTCTTCTATTGTTACAAGCATGACATTGTACCAATAGCAGAGCCTTTTTTGGTGTTACATAGAACCATTTTAAAAAAGGTTCTGCATAGAACCCCATACAACACATTCTCCATCAGTGCAAAGAACCGTGTAAGCATGTAGACGTTTCTTTGGGTGTTCATGGCTCTATACTCATTGTCTTTACTTAGCAACCCTTAAAGAACCATCCTCTTTATGAGTGTAGTTAAGATGTTAACGCATGGTCTGGACTGACGCTTCTGTCCACTGTAATTTAATTTTCATGTACATGAGCAGATTAATGATTAACATTTGTGCAATGTTTTTTCTCATTACAGAAGTATTTGAGTGAAAGGTTATTAGGGTTGTATTAGACTGAATTGAAAAGGTGGCAGAGCTTACAAAAGCACAAAGCATTTTAAAACAGGGCAGATGAGTACTTTGAATAGCTGCTGTGATGAGCCTGTTGAATGGCTGATGTTAAGCGGATGGGTCAGAAGGTCGCCAGGCTTTCAGTGCAACAGTTCTGTTATTGCTTTTAGCCTTTGTTTTGTTAGTATTGCCATGGTAATCTCTTCTGACCTTGCCTGACACTCACTCACACTCTCCCTCTCTCTCTCTCTCTCTATGTGTGTGTGTGTGTGTGTGTGTGTGTGCGCGCCTCTCTATGTCTCTCTCTTTCTCCCTCCTCTAGGATGATCGACTGGCTGTCTTGGCCCCTTGCCAATCATGTAGACACCTGGGTTATTGCTCTACTAAAGGGACTGGCTGCTGTGCAGAAATTCACTATCCTCATAGACGTCACATTGCTCAAAATTGAACTGGTAAATATGTGCTCAACCTCATAACCCATAAACAAAACAGTGTGTGTACCGGTGCCCAGCGTCAGGGGCAAAGGGCAAAAATGCCCCTGTTTTTGCTACCTAAAACACTATCACCCTGATAAAATGTGAATTCTACATGAAAACTACTTCATTAATAAACATTATGATAGATTTTTGTTTGAGTTGCATATTAACACATTTTAAACTTCTACAGCTGACCTCACAGAGTCTTCTGAGTGGCCCTGTTTGTTTATAAAAAGCTACTGAATTTCAGTCAGTAAGGACAAAAGTGGCCTTGGCTTACTCTGTGTGTGTGTGTGTGTTGTTGTGTTTGTTTTTTGTGTTGTTTATTTACAGGTCTTTAATCGTTTGTGGTACCCCATTGTAAGACAGGGAGCATTAGCTGTTCTCTCTCACATGCTGCTTAGCTTCCAGCACTCTCCAGAGGCATTCCACCTGGTAAGACTATTCACGGCAGCCCTTTCGGCCTGTCACTGTCTCGCAACACTAAACCCTGAAAGGGAAATTCCACCAATTTTCCACCAAGTTTCTGCATAATTCAGTTGATCACATGTAAACAAAGTCACTCAGAGTGGTTTGATGTGAAATTGTGCATTGTACAGAAACTTATTCAGGTTTCTTTATTGTGGTATTGATAAGAACCAGTGATTCCCATTGTTTTTTGGGGGGCTGTTTTACCTCACAAGACCCTGCATACACTCCTCCCTTTTGAATTAAAAAGAAAAGTTTTTGACCTGAAGCTAATCTCAGAATTATCGTAAAATTGCTCTGTTCGAAATAGCATATTATGTACTGCACACTGCATCAGTATATACCGTACACTGCCTGCTAGTCTTCATGCTGTATAGTGTCCAGTGTATAACAAAAACCATGTCCTATACTACAGGACAGGACTGAGCCAATCAGACCCATAACAAGAACCGCCCCATTTTTTAAGCCCTTCAGTCACTGTAGTACACATTACTAGCCACTTTTGAGGTTGTGTTGATATATTTTGGTCAAGAGATGTTCCTACTGTTTCTCCTGAGTTTTGAGAAACAGTGGCACAGTAGAGGGTGTTATTTTCTAACCATCTTGAGAGCCACAAATAAACGTAAAAAATGTGGACTAAATTCGTCCATATGCTCAGCCTGTGTGGCTTCCAAACACGTAAAAAGGTCAGTCATTGCATTTTTATTACGTTCGTAGTTGATAACATAAGCTAGTTTGACTGAATAATAAGCAGTGCTGTGACTCCCAATGTAAGCCTGAAAAGCCAATGCTGAGCAGAGACCAACTTTAGTAAGTTACTGTAATAATCAGGTTACCTGTGCAGTAAGTTAACTTTATTAAATAGGCAAAGTAAGGAAACTCACTTCAAGGCCAGCAGTGAAAACTGATGAGACTTCAGAGGTCCAGGCTATTCAACTTTTCAATGCAAACCAGGCGGTTATGTTAATGGTTACAGCTCCTGAAATGACAATGTTGCAGTTTGGAATGCAGTTTAACACTGAGAGAGCTCTGGCTGCATACTGGAATTTTTGTCCTGAGCAGTGCATCTTCCAGTGATCTCTGGCGTACTGAAGAGATTCATGTTGGTCACATACTGCATCCCATCTACTACTTTTGGGTACAATCAGTATGTGAGCAGGATGTATTAGGCTTACAGCTCATGGCTCAGACATCATGCAGCATGATGGTAAATAGGGATGTAAAATCGTGATGTAGCAATGCAAAACTTAACAGTGTGCATTGTGGAGAGTAGAAATTCTGTTCATTATGCCATCCAAAGCAATTGCAATGTTTGAACAGCAAGGTTTGCATACAGTCAGCACCAATCAACAACTTACCCCAGCACTCCTCCTGCTTCCTAGCTTTAGTGCCACTAGTAAGTTGTGCAGCAACTTTTTAATGATTGAATTAGGCAGAAATGTTGAAAAATGAAAAAATTCTCTTTCAACAGTTGTGGTACTTTTTGTTTAAAATTTTGCAGTTGCACTATAACAGTGCAAGGGACTAACTAGACACCCACCTGGTGTTGATGACTAAGATTCTCTAGCAAAACTTTTTAATTAAAGGAACTAATGCTGTTGGTAATTAAGGTTTTATATTGAACACTTGTGGTTTTAACTGACACATTGCTGTCACAGATGTGTGTGTTTAAAGTGTGCACAAATGTACATGAAATTCAGGTGGATAAATGAGAAATGTGAAATTTGAGGCTGAACTGCTAGAACCCACAGAACTAATTTAATAGAGCAGACAAAGCAGCATAGCAATGGTCATAACTTAATAGATTAAAAAATAAACAAAATTCATTTCTTTGAGCTTTTTGTCTCTATAAATGTAGTCTAAGGTCTTGATTTATATAAATGATATTAACACTATCTGATAAATCAGGTGGTTCCCCATGTGGTACCGCTGGTGCAGTCTCTGCAGAACGATGGGCTTCCCACCAGCAAAGCCTTCTTGCTGCAGTTCACTGAGCTGATCCACTGCATGATGTACCAGTACTCGGGCTTCCCTGACCTCTACGACAGCATCCTCGAAGCCATTAAGGTGAGACATCCAGTGCTGGAGTAGCACATTCAAAATCATGATCAGTTTTATTCAACAGCACTCACTATGTCATGCACATACAATACTGTGCAAAAGTCAGAAGCCACCCTTTATTTCTTTAATTTTCAGTCAAAATGGCCATTAAGTATGAGTTACTCCTTTTTTAGGAGATATATCTAATCTCCTTAGAAACAAGATAATCTACTTGCGTAAGGAAGGGAACATCAAAAGGAAAAAACTGGAAAAACAGGAGTGCCCCACACTGGAGTTCAGATAATTATTAAAACATACAGAAAACATGGGTCTCCTTACAACAGTACACGATAGACCACCAAAACTGTCACCATCATATAAAGTACCTAAAGTTTTCATCTTTGAGAGGTTGGAGAAAGTCAAACTCCACTCATGCTTCAGATCTGAAAAATCCACAGGTGACTGTCCATCCTTCCACTGTGAAAAGAAAACTCAACACTGGTCTGAAAGGATTCATAGCTATCAGGAAGCTCTTACTGAGAAAAGGAAAGAGGACCTCATCACTGAATGTGTTTTGGATTACTTGGATTGTGAGAAGCAGAAAATGCATTCAGCTTCTAAGACTGAACTTTGGAGGTGTGGGAAAAATGTTTTCTGTTTTTTTCCTAATACTGAAAAACGAATACATTTTACTTAATGCTGTTTTGACTGGAAATTAAATAAATGGATGGCCTCTTACTTTTATATGGTACTATATACATATATAGTGATATTGCTCCTTACAAAAACACAGAACAAGCTTAACACTCTTAGAAACTGAAGAATTGGAGTCCTGTGTTTTGGATTTGTAGACATTAGCAGTGGCTGGGAAGTCATAGCCAGTGAACTTGTTGACCCAGTGAAGTTAGCTCTTGGATTAGGCATTGCCAGAGACTACACAATATGATTTACACAGTATTTTGTAACATACCTGCTGACATTATTGTTAGGATTACCATCAGCATGTGAGTGAGAGCAGGAAAACAGCCCACACAGTGCAGGCAACTCTAGAACTAGGAGTGAGAATCACAAATCTAAAGTGCTTGGAGCTTCTTTACTTTATAGTATATTAAAGCATTCCTGTTATCTGCATGGCTATTTTAGTTGTTATTAACTGTTTGGCTGTTTTATTTATTACTCCAGGAACTACCTAAACCTAGTGAAGAGAAGATCAAGTTTGTGCTGAACCAAAGTGCCTGGACCTCGCAGTCAAACTCTTTTGCCTCAGGACTGCTGAGGCTTACGGGCAAATCAGAGACAGGGAAGACGGGTCTTGTGAACTTGGGCAACACGTGTTACATGAACAGCATCATTCAGACCCTCTTCATGGCTACAGAGTGAGTGCACTCATGGATATCTTATGCCATCCATAACTACAGGTTAAAAAGCGGAACGCTAGTGTGGGTAAATTCACTCCCCAGCCCATATAGTGTGTATATAAAAAAATAAGTCTCAAAAATAGCCTGTTTTAAGTCACATAAACACATTTACATATAACAGCTAAATTAAATGTTTTAAGATGTTCTGCAGAGGCCCACTGCATGAACAATATAAATCTTGTAGCACTGGGGTGGATTTATCCAGAATTCTGTGTTTTTCTTGCTGTAACCATGATGGTATTTTCAGCAGTTAAGGTGCACATTGGGCTCCTCAGTGGCACAACCATCTGAGGTTTGCCATATTTTCGGAGATTGCGGATTTGAATCCCGCTATTAAAACCAGCATGTCATCAAACAAGCTATAGTCAAAACAAATAAACGTAAGTGGAGTGTGGCTAACGTGATCTCTTTTGACTAATAGTTCCCATTCAGAACTGTTGCTGGATTAGTATTTTCAATGATGTATTTTCATAAGCTAGTCATCTACTGTAAAAGTATGAAAAGGCTTTTCCTCTTTGTATTTTAAAGTGAATCTCTGAATCTCCGTTTTGTGCAGTTTCAGACGGAATGTCTTATCCCTGCATCTGAATGGCTCTAATACCCTGATGAAGAAGCTTCAACTCCTCTTTGCTTTCTTAGCTCATACACAGGTTTGTGGCATTTCATTCACAAAACTATATCTCTATTACTGCTAGTAGTGCTGGGTGGTTTCTTAAAAATATATTTGTACCATCACCATGCAGCTGAACAAAGAGGCAGATTTACTTATGTTTTGTGCCGTCACAAACCTTGTTTTGGCATTAAAAAGTGGCTGTTGAGATTTACAACAAAGTGACAACTTCTTTTTTAGTGCCGCCGGTAATAAGGCAATAAGACATGCAAGTTGGCAAGTGTGCAAACTTTTGCACATAACTGCATTTCCGGTGACTGTTACCATCTCTATCACCAACAGCGTTTAAAGTCCCTAATATTGCACCACTGACAACAGTACATGACTTACTGCCATAAAGATGAACAGCTGTTCTCAGACTAATCAATTAATTTTATGAATGGATTATATCCAAGAATGACAGTTTTCTCTAACCTTTGTTCCCACAGGCTGCTCCCATGGTCTGATTAAATTAGGCTTGTCTAATCTTGTTTTATTGCAGACATTTATAGAAAAGTGACTATCATTTTGAAAAAATTGATATTGAGGTTCACATCTACTCAGGACGAGCTCTGAGAACACTGAACGCAATAAAATTATATTAAAGCCCATAGTTTTGTAGTAGTATTGGTGTTGTTTAGAAGAGGATGTTGCAGCAGTCACAAAAACTCATAAGATACAATTTGTGGCTGGTGTTTGTGGGGATTAAAAGGCTTAAATGACTTTGCAGTACAAGCATTTGGAAGATGGCAAATACAAATGTCCTCAAATTTGCAGAGAGCTGTATCCATGACAGCACTGTTTGGAAGTTCTGATCAAGAATACATTTTGGATGGGATCACATTTCGGTTACATTTCAGTTTGAATGTCTGCAGTGAAAATGGGTGGGGTGTTGATTGGCACAGTTTTGACTATAAGCTTCTTTTTGTATTACTTTAATAATAAGCAGCAAAAACATTGTAGAGAATTTGTCTGTATCTGCGTTCATACTTATTAAAGTTCTGCATTTGATGGAGTTGCCAATAAGAGAAGATAATGGGATATTTTATTACTTTAATTGTTTTCATCAATCTATTTGCCCACCAGCGAGCAGCATATGCACCAAGGAGTTTTCTAGAAGTGTCACGGCCACCCTGGTTCACAGTTGGCTCCCAACAAGACTGTTCTGAGTATCTGCGCTTCCTTTTGGACAGGTACCTTTTAATGAACAGCCATGGTCACTTGCTATATCTTTATATGATCTTTACATGGCTTGTGTACAAATTATACATCAGATTTATTTCAAAAGATTTATGTATCAGAGGTTTTAAAGAATGCTGTCGCCATAATTTATGGATGCTCCAGCTGCTCACTTCTTTTGTTTTGTTAAGATTGCATGAGGAAGAAAAAACTCTCCAAGCGCTTCAGACAGCAAAGCCTAAGGTGGTCTCTGTCAATGCCGAGGGTATTGGTGACGGTGTGACTCACAGCGTGAACGACACACTGTCCCATTCTCATGTGGAACCTGTGGTCGCCGAGGGTGACGGGCGGACTCTGGTCGAGCGAATGTTTGGCGGCCGTCTTTCCACGCGCATCTGCTGTCTGCAGTGCCACAGTCTGTCTGAGAAAGAGGAACCTTTTACGGACCTTTCCCTGGCCTTCTGCCCCTCTGCCCCACAGTCCGCTGTAGGACCCTGCCAAGGAGCTGTTAATGGAGGCAGTGAGAATTTGGAAGGCCCTGTTAAAGAAGCCCAGAGTGTAGAGCGACCTGCGACCGAGCCAGCTCTGTCCCTGCATGACCTCCTGGAGTATTTTCTGGCCCCAGAAATCCTGGAGGAAGAGAACTGCTACTTCTGTGAGCGCTGTGGGTCACTGCAGCGGGCCGAGCGCGTCATGAGGGTGGTGGCTGCGCCTGAATACCTCATTCTCACACTGCTGCGCTTCTCTTATGACGCCACATGCCATGTCCGCCGCAAAATCCTGGACAATGTGGGCATGCCACTGCGCATGTGCCTGCCCGTTCACCAGCACCATGCATCTGCCTCTAATACTGCTGCTGTCTCTTCGTCTTCCTCATCCTCACCGGCGCAGATTGACTCCCCCGAGAGTGGCGAGAACTTAGCCAAGAAGCTGAAGCCATCTCGGAGAGAGGAAGAAGAGGAAAGGTTAACGGACACTGGGAGAGAGGGAGGTACAAAAGGGGAAAGATCAGGGGTGCATTTAGTCCCATATGTCCTTAGTTCTGTCGTGATGCATTCCGGGATGTCCTCAGAGAGCGGTCACTACTACTCATATGGCAGGAATGTGAGCGGGACAGATGTGTGTGCCGCTGCTACGACAATAGCCAATTCCTGCAGCAAAAATTCTGAAACAGAGGCAGGGCTTAACCACAGTGGCCAGTCAGAAAGCTTCACCGCTTCGCAGGACGTAGTAGAGTGTGGAGGACAAAGCTCCAGCGAATGGTTCTTGTTCAATGACAGTCGAGTGACTTTCACCAACTTTCAGTCTGTGCAGAATGTTACAAGTCGTTTCCCCAAGGACACAGCCTATGTACTGATATACAGAAAACAGGACATTGGCGGTCAGCCTGGTGGCGCACGAGGTATTGTTAACAGCTCAAAGTTTAACGGGGAGCCACCACTTCATAAAGACCTGATGGATGCCATCACCAAAGACAATAAACTCTTCTTGCAGGTGAGAGGATTCTGCCTTATACTGCTAGTCTTCTTCAGTAGAGAAAAGGGTTTTAGTAAACCAAAACAGTAGATCAGGGCAATCGATTTAACAAGGTACATCTTCAATTGACAAGAGATTACCTTAAATTTCTGAGACAAGTGGACACTAGGGGTTGCATTGACTAATCGGCTGGTAAATCCACTAGTCGGCACTGTGGGCTGCAGTCGACTAATTGAGGACAGTTCCTGAAATACAGTGGTGGTAGAAACTACAGTGAAGAGGCAGGAGGAGTTATACTTTACTAGGAAAAGGAACACTACACAAAATGACACCAATTCCACTTCAAGCTGCATAAGGCTGCACTGAAATACTCATAAGCCAGCCTAGGTAGGTTTTGAGGACTGCAGTAGTAAAGGGCCATTTGACTGCAATGCAAAACATCCATCAGTGACCGTTTAGCGTGACCTGTGCAACAAAAAACAAACATGGAGTACTGGCTGGCAGATATCTTGTTTACTTGTTACCTAATGTTACTAACCCAGTTCAGGAATTAAAATGGGGTATCATGAATGTTTCCTGGTTTAGTGAGTAGTCTCATTCTGAACTACTTATTGATGAGTAGAGAGATGGAACTACTTGCTGCTAGCATTTAGCATTTGGAGGTAAGGTTCTGAGAGCTGTGGTGATTTTAGCGTGCAGTTTACATCAGACATTAAACTCTGTGGGCACAGTGCCTGAGACCGAAAGTTACTGAAATGCAACAGAAGAACTTTTCTGCAGTGCACATCTCACACCTTAAACCACAGTATCATCTGCTCAAGCCTGTATAAGCAAGCTGCTTACAAAATACTTTTGTATTTTGGTTTTTATTTTTTGGGAATGGCTAGTCGACTAGTTATAATTAATAGTTGTGCATCCCCTAGTGGATGCATCACACAAGGCAGTACAGAATTGTACTACTTTAACCTTACCTCTCCATAATAACATGGCAAAGATGTGGTATAACCACCAGAGGGTGGTAATGAGGATATATTAGACACCTAGTGAGGTAAAGCTCCTCCTAACTTTGACCTACGTTTTTCTGAACAAGTGAACAATTAAATGTGTGTTTGATTCAGTCATTAAAAATCAATTAGTTACCGTCTTGGGGGAATATGTTTGATATTTCTTACTGTTTGCTTTAGTCTGTTCTGAGAAATGAGATATACACTGGGATTAGTGAATAACCTTTTAGATGTACCATATGAGGAAGAAGATTATGCCGAGTTCCGCCTTGTTCACTGAAAAGTTCCATGCAGGCAGATGTTCTGTGACAGATGGACATTCTAATGTATAACTTTATGGTTTCTCTGAAGATTCTTAGTTACTGGTTAATTATCTGCTTGTTGTTTAGACTCTTTAGTGTCATTACAAATACTTACTACAATCAGATCATAGCATGAACAGGCATGTGCAAAAGTTTCAACACCCCTAGTCAAATTACATGTTTTCTTGATGAAGTGAAAAGAAGTTAGCACATCCTCTATAGGGAACACACTTCAATGTGACATTTGTTGGCAAATTTTAGTGCACAGTTAAACATATTAGGGAAGAAAAAAAAAATAAAATGTGCCATAACTTTTGCATAGGCCACATTTCATGTTTTATTTTGTTTCCATTATGTTAAATTCAGCAAATAAACAGTAACTGTGCATTAAAATGTGCAGGATTGCATTCTTTGTAGAGCATGTGTCAACTCATTTTCACTTTGTCATTTCACCTGGGGCACCCAAACGTTTGCATATGACTTCATGTACTGATCTTAGTCTGATTATCTGAAGATAAGACTGTAGTATAATGAAATCATGCAGTTTGACAACACTAGCTTTCATTAAGTGACTACTGATAACACTTTCGCTAATTGTTAGCCACATTAGCATTCCCATTTTCATCATCACCCTTATTTAAACAGGTAAGTTAACTTTTATCTTTTACAATAATGACCTTCAACCTTTTAAACTCCAAAGTCTTGACAGGTAACTACATATATCTTATATATAGTAGTAGTAGTGGTATACTGAAAAAAATGGCTTGTCAGATCTACCTAAAAAAATGACTTCATGTGGTAACAAGCAAGTGAACTAGTTTTATTCAACTCAAAAAATTACTTTGATTGAAAGAATCGTTCATTCAAAATATTTATTTAGGTTGAATAAAATTAGTTAATTTACTTGTTACCACATGAAGTAATTTTTTCAGGTAGATCTTTATTACAGTGTATAGTTACTGAGGATTTAAAAGATAATATGTCTTAAGATTATTAACAATAATAAGTTTTAGGGCTTATCTGTTTCTGTCTTCTCTTCACAGGAGCAGGAGCTCAACGCCAGAACCCGCGCTCTCCAGGCAGCCTCGGCCTCCTGCTCGTTTCGGCCCAACGGCTCAGACGACAACGAGCCTCCGGGCAGCTGTGGCCCTTCGGGTGGGGGAGGGGGCGGGGGCTTCAACACTGTCAGCAGACTGGTCTTCTGAGACTAGGACGCACACACTCTCACACAGAGCACTGGACTCAAACGTTCAAGCCTAAACACTGGACTCCATTTACAATCCAGTCTCTTCGGTTTCCTAATAACTCTCCCACTTAAAAACAGCTTTGCTTTCTGGTTTGCATGCATTTCCCCCTTATATTTCCTTGTTACAAAGTGTTGACTAAGCACTTTTGATCCTACAGGTCACGATTGGCCTATCCATGGGCCCATGCCCTGACAACATTTACGATTGCCAACTTATTTAATAACTAGTGATTACTTTCAACTCTGAAGAGCTATTTTTCCCCAACATGTAACCATCTTTCTCCACTCATTCACACTGTACTTGAAGAGCTGTTTGCTTAGGTTGTTTATTTAACACGGTTTTTCCTGTGCTGTGATTGGTTAAGTGACATGCCCATGGATAGGTCATAAACTGACACGTTGATGCAATAAATATCCACAGAAGGATGCAATACTGATTTTTGTTCCATAGAACTTGAGCTACACTATGGGTTAGCGAAAATAATGTCTGGCAAATATGTGTGAATAGATTTTTTTGACAAACTAAGACTTAACTTGCATGCTAAATATTTGAATTGAATTTTCTTCTGGTTTGGGGTGACATCACGAATATTGCTGTTTTTATATTATATTATTTGTTTTAACTAAGTTATTTCGCGCATTCAGGGAGTATTTTTTTTCCCTTGGGTTTTAAGCTGATTTTCTGTGCCTTTTGATACACATTTAAGATTTTACAGGATGATTTGACTTGATTTAAAAAAAATAAGCCTTGTGCTTTACTGTACAGTGTTAATATTTGATCAATGTTTTTCTTTTTCTCCAACAGTAAAGGTGCATCGAGAAGCAATGTCTGATTTATTATATGTACAAAAATATATGTAAATAATTTCAAAGTGCTTCTAATGGACTGTGTCTGACACTTATCATGCAGACAGTGGGCCATATTTATCAAACTTGCCAAAGTAAGAGTGCTGCAGTCAGACATAGCCTTTTACAACTTAATGAAGGTATAATATTGAAAAAAGAGGGATTACTTTTACTGTGAGCTGCTTGATAAATATGGATAACTGACTGGTCTGCCAACTCTCATACCATGCTGCTAATTATTCAGCGCGTCTGATGGAGGATCTCCTACACTTTGATTCTTGGCTAATTGCTAGTTGTTTAAGTATGAGTAAAAGATGTTTTCACTTTGAGTTTTAAAGTATAATGAGTTTTAAAGAATATACAGGCGGATTTTTACACATTTTAAACATCAAGATGTAAACAATGTCATTCAGACTGGTTTGATGTGAAATGCTGTATTCTAGAGAAATCTGCAGTCAGAATTGTTTACAGTGGTGATGATAGAAATCAGACATCTCTAAAAGCTCCCTCACAGAAAGTTATAACACAAAATGATTACAAAAACGCAGCCTGATGTCTGAGATGGGTTTTTTTAAATACGTTTTTGGGCTAAAATATATTGTTTAAAGTATATCCGTGGTTGTGAGGCAAAATGGTACCTGACTAAATCTTTGTTTTTTTTTTCCAGATTTAACTCTATTTTACCAATCATCTTTACATATTAAACCTCAGAAGACGTCGTTTAGCCAGTCATTTTGGATATTAAAGCTGCACTATGTGAGAAGTAGCATTATGAGTGAGTAAGGAAAAAAAAAAACATTACAAACTGCAAGTCACCCAGTAAAGACCGAAATAATAATTTAAAAGTCAGAGGTGTCAGATTGGATGTTATGGTAGTTTTTCGAAACACGTCATACATCTTTGCGTATTAAGGAAATGTGCACAGGCTTAAGAAGATGCGGCTTGATGTTTAGGTCTCAAATGCAAAATCAACATTATACTGAAGATATGACGACAATAGTCGTTAATTCATACATCCTTGAAAGACACATCCTTCCCCTAGTTTGACTTGAGTTCTCATTGAATGCTCTTTCAATGTGCTCGCAGTAATCAGATCCATCCACTCAGGAAGCACAACAGACGTTACAGAATGTTCTTTGGCACACTATGTGCAATTACATATTTCCACCAGAGAGGTCTCCATGTCCCCAAAACTACTCAATGGTTCCTATCACCACTAAAGAAATCAGAGTTGGTGAAGTTTCTCTACAGTGAAACGTTTCACATCAAACCACTCTGAATGACTTTTTACATCTCAGTAAATGAAAATGCAACAATTCCTTTTTAAATTCCCCTTTAAAAGTGTAAAGTCCACCTTTAGGTTTTATGTAGTGGTCTTAATGATCCAAATTGAATCCTTATAGTTTGGCTACCAACTTAAAAAGATTGTCATTAACCTCCATGTGTGACGATGTCACATCCAGCTGTAGTGCTCTGGGACGTGGATAACTGAAATGTTTTTGGTTATTGTGGTGAGGCCGTGTGGAAAGCGCCCTTGTGCTGTTTTTAACCTTTTGCAGAGTTCAGATAGCCCTATGTAATTTCAGCAATCTGAGTTAGCTCAGATGACTGGAATTCCTATTCAAGAAGTGTCCGGTTATATAAGACATGGTGTTTATTTCAGAATAAAAGCAAAGAAATGAAATTTGATATATTTTTTTTCTTTTCATTTAGCAGGTGCTTTTGCCCAGGCTGTTCTAAAGATGTTTAAAAAATTGCTGAATGGCTGCTATTAGTGACCAAAGGCAGCTCAATAATGCATTAGATTGCATTAGATGTAGCACAAAACAGACGTTTTTCATATTCAAATGTTATCAGGCTTATCCTTGCTTTTAACGCAGCGTATTAAGAGACCTTTCAGAGTCGTTGTGGGACAGGCCATATATAAAGCTCTGGCAGCGACTGTGATTGAGCCACTGCCCTTGTGTCCTGAGACGAACCCTGTAATGCACCGCCTGTGCTCTCTCACACAAACCCAGTCAGGCAGAGTGGCCTGCAGTGTCGCTGCCTCGAGGCTTGGGCCTGCAACTTCCCCATTCGCTCTAAATAGAATCTGAATCCTCTGGAGGTGCATTTCTTAATGGAGATGCTCATATGTATAATGTACCAAGCCAGTCTTGTGGTTTTTTAAAGGGAGGGGAGGACGAGGGCAGCGTTTTAGCTCTTAAATCTTCCCCTATCCCATTAGCTTTGCAACATGTGTGCTGTGGAGTAGTGCCACTCGTGCTGCCTCCAAGACCATTTGGTAAAATCAATGGCTTTCAATTATTCAGCAACCGAGAACCAGCCGTTTTCTCACAGCCATTTCGCAAGGACACATCAACACTTTGGCCCACTCCCACTAACCTACATTAATCCATCTGAGAGAGAAAGTAGGAGGTGGTGAGAAATGTGAAGCTGTTTCTCTGTGTACTTTTTGTCCTAGCTTAATACAAATCTATCAAGGCCTTCAGAGTAGTGTTGCGCACTAATAGTCTAATTGTTTGATATGCATAAAATGTGAGCAGGCTTTTAAAAGCCATGTCTTCTGTGCTGCCAGCATATACTAAATTATTCCATAACAGTGAATGTCATGAGTGCAAAATCACATTTATAGTATGCAGCTAATGCCTCAGTACTTTGAGTGGGCAGCACTGGCAGTTTGAGATGGGCTGCTCTTTTCCTTCACACACGTTCCCACATGCCATGTAAAATGCCACTGCGTTTAATGCATCTCTCATGAATGTTTTAATCTTTCCCAAAAGCTTGAACCTCTGGACCTTTTACTTTGAAATGGACTCCTTAAAGTAAGGGCTCCATCTCTCCCTTGTGGCTCACTCTGGTCTCTCAGTTTGTTAGTTTAAATCTGTAGTTTAGGGAAATGCGATTTTGGCCCTTGTTCTGAGCCGTTGTGTCTTCTGAGACCAAGTGAAAAATCTGTAATAGTAAATTGGCTTTTAAACTCTAAGTTTTACATTCAGCACTTCATTTTTTGACAGTTGCAAAATGAAAAAAAAATCTGCTTTAAATTCATCCCATGAGCTTAAATGGGAAATCCAACAATTTTTCAAAAATTTATGCATAGTTAAATGTCTAAGATTTCAACAAAGTCATTTAGAATGGTTTGGTTTGAAATGCTTCGCTCTAGACTAACTTATAGAGTCAGAACTGTTCACAATGGTGATGATTGACACCAGACATTTGAAGACTTCAATGCCTCTAAAAGCTCCCTTAAGGAGGGTTATTACATTAAATAGTTACAAATCTGCTGCCTGATGTCTCAGACATTATTTCATGATTTTTTACAATAAGGTTTTGGCCTTAAATTTAATTACTCCCATATATAATTATTCCCATATTATAGTTCCCATAGACAACTTATTTTTTTCAGATTTTTTCCTATTTTACTATCATCAGCATTACATATAAAAACTCAAGACATGTTTAGGTTCACATCTTGTTTTGGATAGTAAATAAAATGCCTACAGACCCAGACCAAGATTAAGCCTAAGCGTAGACTAAAAAGAATTTTCAAAGGTGATTCACCATTGGCACTGCAATTTAGTTCAAGACAAGGCTTAATCCATGTCCGGGAAACTGGCCCAGGATGTTTTATGCAAGCAGTCACAGGACTAGGCTTAATCTCTTTCCAGGAAACTGACCTATAAAGTGTCTGGAGAGCAAATCAGGGAGCGTTAGATTTGAATTCAGGTAAAAAAATTACATGAATGTGGCCAAAATACTCATTGGACACAATACTTCGAAAAAAGTAGTGATTTAGAATATATTTACAATGGATATTGATAACATACAAGGGAAACACTCCTCACTGTTACTGGCTGGCAGTTTTGTTTATGTAATTCTTCAGTTAATATGTTTCATAAAAAAATTAATTATTGACATATACATAAAAAATTAATACAAAATGATCAACATTTTTTTGGCTCTCATCACCTGCTTCGGTCCACTGCTGCTCCCATAATCCTATGCCATCTCATGACCGAAGCAACAATATCCCAATAACAAATATATGATATGTATGTAACTTGCTATGAAACGCATGCACGAGTCTGGTACAATAGCAAAGCTAAGCTCGTCACTCGTCTGCACTATTAAGGAGACTGTTCAGTTCAGTCATCCCTCAAAAGAGTTTACTAATGCTCAGATTAATAACTGGATCATCACAGTGATTTATCAATCTACTCAGGCTTTAGCAGGAACTAAGCCATTTTTAAGCTCTTCTTTAGAGTATGTCTTTATATGCTGTGTGCTAATTTAAAATATTTAGTAAGCAAGATTTGATGGTGTTTCTTTTAAAGATGGTATATATTTTTTTTATTTAGTTTGTAAATATTCTAAAAGTATTCTCTTAAATATGTAAAAGGTAACTGTATTCCAAATAAAATGTAACTTGGACTAAATACAGATACTTATACTTTTTATTACTATACATATTCCCAGTGCTTGTATTTTGTTACATCCAAACCCTACTGATAGATGTCTTGATCTTGAATAAAAGATCAAGAAAAGATAATCTTTGTAAATGCAATCGGTCAAATAAACAACTCTAACTTATACTTTTGCACTGTTTGTATCAAGTTTTTGCACTTGTTTCTGCAATTCAAAAGAATCTGCATTCATTAGGATTGATTTTAAAAAGACATTTAAAAATGAAATAATTAAAAAATGAAATTGAGTAATGAAGTTGGCAAATTCGTTCTAGCATTTAACAGACTCCAACAGATGATTAATGGCTAATCTGCTTACTGAAGGAACCATGAACACAAAAGGATTTGCTGAGCAATCGTCCTGAGCTCAGAGCTCCGGAGCTTCAGAGAGCAGCCCGCGTTTCCAAACGCAGCGAGTGAAGCAGGCAGGGCTTTGTTGGTGGAGCTGATTGGAGAAGGCGTTTCCCATTACAACAGCATTCCAGCCATGCCAGTGTCACAGAGAGAAAAGAAAACGAAAAGAAATACTGCGTGCAATACAAAATCAGGAACAACTCTAATCCTAATATTTGCCTAAGACTGCAGCTGTTTAGCCATATAGAGAAAGAATAAGACACAGCATAGCAGAATCGTTTTAATAAAACATATTTTCTATACAGTATATGATTCCAGAGGATATATATAACTATGACTGCCTCGTAATAACAGCTCCTTGCTTTCAGTTTTGGATGGTAAAAAAATAAGATGTTGGTCTCCCTCGTAGTTTAGTCAGGATTTATGGACGAGGCGCTCTAACTGCATTCTGGTAAGTGTAGTATACATGTAAAGGCGCGACGCCCCTCGATGTCGTTTCTAATCAAATGTACCCTATTTCAAATTAATTTGGTCTTTATCCTGTAACCGTGGGGAGGGATTTTGCCTACAGTCATTTTGAGTGCGAAGAGTAATGCACGAAACAAGACAAAGCCGCGTTTGTCGTGCTGCTCGGGGCAGCTGTCGAAGACTACATTTCCCATGAAGCGTCGCTCCATATTTTTTTTACTCGTTGGAGTTCGAGTTTGGGGGAAAAAAAAGTATCGACGGTTATCGCCTGTCAATCACCCAGGAGCTGAGGGGAGGGAAAGGTCGACGAGAAAGGAGATTTTTCTCTGTTAAAACAGCGCCAGGCTGCTCTCTGGACAACAATGTGCTGGAGAAGGAGCGAAAACGTGTGGGAAATGTTTAGTTTTAGACCAAAACGAGCCAGTTAAAACAGCCCCGTCGAAGTTGTTGGCTTGGGCGATTGAGTCTCACCGCGTCGGTTCGTTCGTCCGTTGGAAAACGTAAAGCGAGGATTATTCACACTTTCACACAAAGTGTGTAAACAAAAGCGGAGGGTTTTCCACACATACGGATATCGTGTGCGTATCAACATACAGATATTTTGGGAATATTTTTCGTTTAAGACAGTGTTCTTCCCACCGAAAGGAAGGAGTTCATTCCTAAGAGTTTGGCGTCGCTGTGGAGAAGCTGGAAGCACTGACGGTATTTTTCTCCTCCTCTCTTTTCGCTCTTCTCACATTTTGCTACAAACCGCCTCGCTAACTTTCTCCAGTTATGCTCTTACAGCCGTCGTTTGCGCTTTGTTTTACAGGTTTGCTCTAAACTTGCGGCTTCGAGGGGCTGAAGAAAGAGAAGACCAGGGAGAAAATGAGCGGGGGGGATGTGGTGTGCTCGGGCTGGCTGAGAAAGTCTCCACCAGAAAAAAAGTTACGGCGTTATGTAAGTAAATCTCAGTTGTATTCAAATGCGCTGTGGTCTGGTGTTTAACCACAAAGCCAGCATCAATGCAAATAATCTGCTTTCAAATAACCAAACGCCTGCACTGTCGGTCTCGACGAAGCAGGCTTGAGAGCAAAAACCGTAGTGAACCTGACATATTTAAAAGCCTCGGCTTAACTTGAGCAACATTCCCCAAAACCTGTCTTGGGTGTGTGCAGACTTGTTTACTTGTCAACATTTTAGGTCCTGGAGTATTTTGAGGCTGTGCTGTTTTTCCCTCCTTCACAAAAACACGTAATTAGCATGGCACTTGGTGGAGGACGCTAGAAAGTCTTTATTTTATGCAGTCAAGCCTTAATTCCTACTTTACACCTCCAAATATAGACCGGACACTCTCTCTTTGGTCAGAGTTGGCGTGTTATTTTCTTTTTCTTGCTTTTTGCAGCAGGTTTGAGTT